TGGCCCCCAGCCCCACCAGGTTGAGCATTTGCCGAAATGAAGGGACACCCTTGCCCACGGCCTCCGAGCTGCCCGTGCATGTGCAGGGAGACGTGGGTCCCGTTCAAGCGACACTTGTTAAAGCTGTCTGGGTGAGCCCTGCCTCTCCTACCACGCTCGGCACAGGGAGGTGCGATGGAGGGTCAGCCCCGGCGCCCACCTGCCCGCAACCCCCATCAGCAAGCCAACAAGCAGCATGTTACAAACAGCAACACATATTGCCGTAGTATTTTGGATTTCACAGCTTGCTTTTGCTCCCACGAATAGCAAATGTAACAGCATGTTTCCCCACACGTTATGCCGGCTGCTGATGCAAGGGGCTGCTCCTCCGAACCTCCCATCTCCCAGCAGGGCCCCCTCTGCGTGTTTTGCTCCAAGTCTGGCAAACAAGATTTAAATCTCCAAGAAAAAGGTTGTTACCTTGAATTACAGAAACTTTCAGGCACTGGGCACTTTGTGAGCACCCTCTTGCTTGCGCTCTCCCCTCCAGCACTGGCAAACGTCTCCAGTTGTGTGCCCCAAGGACTTGCGGAGGTCTGGCAATGGAAACGCAATGGAAGTTGGCTGTTCAGGGGCAGACAGTGGCTGCATCAGCAGCGACAGACCAGCTCTGCGTCCCCATGCCCAGAGCTGCATCCCTGGGATGCTCCAGCGGGCCCTCTGGTCCCCGGGTAAATTTGCTCTGCATGACCTTGCTCACTACACCAACACAGAGGTACACAGAAAACACTGCTTTATTGACTGCATTTGCCAACACATTGAGGAATGCAAAGGGTTTTTTCATAAGCAATGGGCCATGGTCCCAATGTGTATTAAAGCATACACTGTATCTAAACAGGATGAAAATAATGGCAGACAGAGCTATTCCAAGGCAACACAAATAGCATGCATAATACAGTCTCACACAGAACGAGTTTGATAACATTATATTGCTTTAAGGATTAACTAACATGGAAAATGTACAAAAAGGAGAAATAGGTTTTTGCATTAATGAAAAATACATTTTTTCTCTACAAAGGAATTTCTAATACAAGAAAATAAATATTGCAACATAAGCCAAAAATAATTTAAAATTGCTCTTTTCAATATATTTTCAATATTTCTCTTTTATATTAACAAATGGCACATCACGTTCTTTGAAACAAAGAAAACAGAAGGGTTTCTCCTCCTGCGACATTCATATCATTTCCTGTAACTGATGTGAAGTGGGTCTGGTTTGTATGTGGAATGGTGCAAACTGGGGGGGATCGCCTTAAAGAACAACCAAGCCTCGCCCCTGCCCTGCAGCAGCATCCTCCCGTTGGCGGCTGCTCCCGCATCCCGCTCTCCAGTCCCGGCTCTGTTCCACACCCTGCTGTGGGGTGAGCTCCATGGGACAGCAGGCATCCACATCCCATAAAATAGGTGCAAAAAAAAAAAAAAAAAGATGGGTGTGGGGAAAATGGGTGTGTGGAATCGGAGCTGTCCTCGGGAAACCCTGCAGCCATCGGGGCTGGGGTTGATGTCGGGGCTGTGCTCCACGATCAGGGCATGATGCAGTTTGCACCCTCATCTCAACTACAATGGCTGCTGCTTCTCCAAGGAAACGGGTGCTCTTACAGTGCAAATGTCGATTCCTGCAGTTTATACATCTTAAAAGACAACATTTCTCTACTAAAATAAACCCTTTTATTTTTTTTCTTTCTATTCATGGCAAAATACATTTACAGTAACATCAAAAATATTTTCCTTGTGCATTTTCTCTCCTGACCGGCAGGCTCGCCTGCTCCGAGGCGGTGGCGAGGAGGCACCTGGCCGGGGACGCACCGGGGTGGCCGCAGCCGTCCTGCTGCGGTCCAGCCCTGCCGGCCCTCGCTCAGCCCCACGGCTCACGAGAGCCCCTTTTCTCCTCTCTGTTCCCCCCCACCCCATTCTTCTCCCCAGGTCTGACGAGCCCACAACCGCCTTTAGCTTTCCCCACCTAAACACCATCTCCCGATGGCAAAATACAATGCCTGATGTTTTGGGAGCATTTCAACCTATTTTATTGCCTGGTGCTGGTGGCATCGGGTTGGTTGTTCTTTAAAGTCTCCCCCTCTTTGCTTTCCTGTACTGAGAAGACAAGTAGTGCAGAAGCTGATGAATGAAGCTGTGTACAGTGAAATTTGTGGATTGCTTTTTTTTTTAACCATAACTGAGTGAAGCACACGGAAGCAAGATTCATTAAAAGGCAGCATATTGATTATTGTTATGACTCTTATACTAGGATACTGTAGCTAAAGCTAGCAAGCCTGATAAGATAAACTAAGTCCTATTTACTGTATTTAACATTATCTGAACATACTGAGCCTTAATTAATGAGCAATTTTCATTTCCAACTTCAATGGATTATGCTAATTTATAACAAAGGTAGTTCCCGTTTTGTTGATTTTCTGTTGTGTTTTTTTTTTTTTTTTCTTTGCTAATAACTTGTGTAACATTTTTCCCATCTGAGGAAGATTCCTCCCCAGGCACGGTCAGTCTCAGCCGGGTTAGTGTTGGGCTTAGCCAGGGCTGGGTGCAGGCGCTTGGCATCCGACCCGGAGCCCCGGCCGCTCGCCATGCCTGGGATGAGCTAGGCTGTCATCGCTTATCTTTGCTGCAATTTTATCAATAATAAGGACTTTGGAAGGCTGATAAAGATGATCTACTCTAAAACATCGATTGAAGGAGTCTCAGAGTTTCAAAAGAAAGCTCACAGTGAAATGAGCAAAAAGCATCGGAAATCAAAACGGCAGGATGCGGTCTCGGAGCAGCAGCATCCCTCGGAGCAAGCTTGGAACCTAACGCCGCAGCAGTGTGTTATGAGTGTGTCTTTAGTCCTTTGTTGCTAAATAACTTCCAATTTTTTCATGACAAGTTTCCGGTTTCTGGCTGTGCTGCTTGACTGTCAAAATATTCTTTGGCATCCACAAAATTATTTGACTGATTGGTTTGACAATTGCAAGGTTTTTTTGTTTAGTGATGGGTTTAACCGGTTGCAGAAGTGTCCCAGGTTTGTTTTTTTTTTTTTAGGTTTTTTTTTTTAAACATTTTTTATTTTTAAAAAACAACAACAACAAAAGTTTCAGTGAATTCCTTTTTTTTTTGTTCCCTGAGCTCACACTGGGGTCACTCCAATAAAACACGTAGCACGACTTAACTGTGACCTTTGAAGCCAAAACCGAAGTAATGGTGCAATTAAGTGCAAACATGGAAATTCGCCTGACTTGTAGGTAACATGGGCTTTTAAACAACATTTAAGGCTTATTGGGGACATTTTATGCATTAAATTATTGTAATATTTATAATGTCAGCTTCTGTGAATCACCCTCCCACAATGAGTCAACAGCTTGTAACCAGGATTTAAGGAATAAAAAAAAAAGGATGGGGAGGAATAAATTCACTATTTCCATTGTAGCGTTTAGTAGGAAAACAAAATGGTGAAGGCAAGCGCTTCCATTTCCCCTCGGCGACGGTACTTTTGGCCTCGGGGCCAAGTGTTTCATTGTGCAAAGGGGACTTCAAACGTGCTGCCCTGGCACAGTGGGACCACGGCGGCCATCGGAGAGAAGCACGGGCAGAAAAACTTCGCTCAACCTCCCAGGTTAAACCAACTCCGACTCCCCACGGTGTTTTTAAAGGATGCTTTTCTCCTCCACCCTGCCCCACAGTTCCATTTTCCAGCTTGCTAACAGCTGAACAATTCACCTGAGTAAATCACTTCGGTTCTTCTAACAACCTCAACAGGGTTGACCCACAGGGCAGGACGGGGAGAAACTGTGCACCCTGGATGGATCTCGACCAGATGGAAAAGCGAGGGGAAAAATAATGACCGAGTTTTTTTATTCTAAAAATAGAAACGTAACGTCGCCCTCTTCCACCCCAAGCGCTTTCCTCCAACAAGCTTTTTGTGCTTTAGTCATTATTTATTTTAGTATCGCTTATTTTGCTTCCTCATATACGCGCACACAGGCGGGTATTTCCCCTCCCGCAGCTGGCCGCTACCGTACCCTCCGCTCGCTCCCTGCTCCGGGGGCAACTGTCCCGGGCAGAAATCTGCCCCTTGTTAAATAATGCCCATTAATTAAACTGTCATCCCTGCAGAAAGCACGGATACCGGCACCCTCCGCCCTCTCGGCACCCTCGGCATCGGTCCTGCCAGGCGCCAGCTCACGTTCCCGGGAAGTGGGGTCCAGCGGGGATCCAGGGAGGGACCACTACTGTCATGGTCATCGATGTCGGTGAAGCTGAAGCTGTATCTCAGGCGTATAGAGAAGAGAAAGACAACAGTGCCGAATTTCCAACTATATACACATATTAAAAATCCCCCTTGCTATGATACCAGGCAGAAATTGGACATGGCAGTTGTAACTGGGTTGAGGCCTCGTCAAGCCGGCACAGTCGGGAGGAGTTAGGATGCCAGGATGCTCATCCTGACAATGTCCTCGCTGGCCGCATCCAGCTGGCCCCGCTGTGCCCGGCCGCCGCGGGACTCCCCGTCCGAGTCGCTCATCTCTGCGTCGGAGAAGTAGCCGTCCGTCTCGGCGTCGAAACGACGCAAGGGAGCTCCGCTGGCACCGTCGGGCTTGGGGGGCTGCGACCTCCGAGTCCCTCGGCTCTCCTTTGGTAATTTGAACCGCACGACGGTTTTGGGGCTACCTACGGAGTCAGGCACTTTGGCCGCGGGGCTGGGCTCCGGCTGAGCACAGCGCGGCGTCTCCTCCTCCTCCTCCTTGCTGACGCAGCCCCTTGCCCCGGCCGGGGGGTGAGGTTCGCCGGCTTTTGGGAGAGAGCCCTTCTTGGCCGCCTTTTTTGCCTCACCCGTCCCCTTGCGGTCGGTGGGAAGCTTCGCCACCCCTTTCTCTGACTTGCTCGGTCTGGAATCGGGAGCGAAGGGCTTGGCGGTGTCATCCGACAAATCGCTGGCGTTGTTAGTCCAGGGCTCCGAGCTCTCCAGGTGGCTCCCACCCACAGCGGGGGGGCTGCTCCTGGGCAGCTTTTTCTTAGTGTTCGTTCTCGTTTTGCTTTTCACTTTCTTTGTGGCCTCGCTCTGCTTGAACGGGGACCTGAGGGAATGGTCCATCATGAAGCTCAGCAAGGTCTCCTCGTCCTGGAGGAGCTCCTCAGAGAGGCCGGGGGTGCTGTCCTCGTGGTGGGCGTTGTTGAGGGACCACTCGCTCATCGCCATGTTCTCGGCGGTGATCTGGACCGACTGCGCCAACCAGCTGTTGAAGAAGGTCCCGTCGATGGGGAAGGAGGTTGACAAGCCTGGAAAAAACAAAAGGGGAAGATTGCCTCAGGAGCCAGAAACAGCCATGCTGCCCTTTGACAACACCACCAACTTCACCGAAACTCCCCAGAACCGGAGAAACACACAAAAGGTCAACCATAATGCACCACATCAGGACAGAGAAGAGGGTTACTCCAGCACTAATGCTGAATTTGGGGTTCACAGCACAACCCGAGTGGTCCCCCACATCCAACACTCTGCGAACCTCCCCAAATCTAAACGCAGCACCTTTCCGCAGTGAAGATGCCCCAACCCACCCCAGCGCGGGTAGAAAATGCATTCCCGTGCAAAGGCAGCAAGACCACCAACCCAGGTGTGAGCCTAAAAATTCAGCAACTGCTACCAGAGCGGGACTTGTGCCCAGGAGAGGGGTGACAGGTCCCCAGGGAGCAGCTGCCACCATGCCACCACAGGCTGCCAAAACCCCGGGCATCACCCGAGCCAGGCAGTCAGTGGGGTGATGGGAACGGTGCTCGATTTGTGTGCAAAGGCTGGGAGGGAGGGAAGCAGGTCTAAGAACATCTCCAAATACTCGAGAGGTGTGAAAATGAAGAAGAGGAGCAGAGATGACAGGCTGGCATGGAAAAGGCTGAAGAACTCCCTATTGATTATCCCTGAGAGCAGGAGTGAGCATTACAGGCTGGGCTGGGTCTAACTAGCAACTGGAAAGGCGCATACATGCACAAGCACATGCAGTTTTAATCCCTGTAATAGAAACCCACGGGTTCAACATCAGAGCTGGTTTTATGGATGGAGGAAAAACTAGGTTTGATTTTTGATTTCGGGTAAGAGCCTTCCTTTTCAAGCAGTCAGTCTAGCAACA